CGCCATGCACGCTTCCCTTATTGTGTCGATTCAGGCGTAAAAACTTTGAACTTTAAATAAAACAGGCAGAGATACTCGACGAAAAATGTATGTCGGTGTATTTAGACAAAGTTTTCATCCTGTCACAAAACTCAGAAATGTGGCCGGCGCATGTGGTGTGACGTCATGGCCCTCGCCGTCACACGTAGAAGACACACGTTTGAGTCCTGTTTTGAGAGGATTGGTTGTCGAGTATCTCGGTCTTTCTACAGTCACATTATATTCCTCTCAGCCCGGGTCTTTCTACAGTCAAGTTATATTCCTCTCAGCCCGGGTCTTTCTACAGTCAAGTTATATTCCTCTCAGCCCGGGTCTTTCTACAGTCAAGTTATATTCCTCTCAGCCCGGGTCTTTCTGCTGTTACATCGTATTCCTCTCAGCCCAGGTCTTTCTACAGTCACATTATATTCCTCTCAGCCTGGGTCTTTCTACTGCGACACTGTACTTTTAACACATCCTTCAGCACTGCAAGACACACAGGGCCCTGAGACAGGAAACTTGGCCAACCCCACTGACGCTACAAGAGAAGCTATACGGGCCGATAGATGAACTGAGCAGGACGGCCCAATTTATGACAGATACCAGACTTCAAGTGTGATGCGATCGAGAAGAAGACTGTACTGTTCTTCTTACTGTTCTCGACCACACTGCTGTAAGTTTCAAGTAAGCAACAGCTTGTGTCAGTAAACTGAGTCCTATGTGAGGCAGCGTGGTGGAATCAGGCTCTCGTCAAAATAATCAAAATGAAGAAACTAGCATTTTTCCACAGGTTTGTGAATTTTTATTTATTTCGTCGTTGTTTGGAAAAAGTTTATCTAACATTCCCCAATATCTTCTGGACATTCACAATCCGTGGAGATATCCGCCTCTCCAGTTGTTGTTGTTTTTTTCTTCGGCGGCAGGAAGTGCCGGGGGATGTCGCCCACGTCGAAATCTGTGAGGCGTCAGAACGGCTGGGGGGGTGGGGGGGGGGGGGTATTGTTGGTGGCCAAGATCTGGGGACAATGTGGCGACTACATCCCGCTAACATAGCGACCCGGGCGAAACTTGTCTCTGCGGCGTTCCCCTTAAGAGGTAAGGGAGTTTTTGTTGTTGTTGCTATTGTTGTTGTTGTTTTGTGGTTGTTGTTTTGTGGTTGTTGTTTTGTTTTTTATAAGTGCTTTATGGCGCTCGCAACTGCATAAGGTAATAGAAAGTAGAAAGGCTTTAGAAAGAGTCCAGAGTCCAAAGGAGGGGGCAAAGGAGGTCCAGGGGTGGGGGCAGAAAGTGGCCACGAAATCAGACGACACAGCATTGTCAGACAGCTGGAAAGGATGTGAAAGGAGAACATTTTAGAGAAGAAAAATTTCCGTCGCTATCCGGATTCGAACCCGGCAGCTATAGAATGAGAGGTGAACACCTGAACCTCTAGACCACGAGAGCCCCCCACCCCCCCCCCACCCCCCGGAGTTTCTTTGAAAATCCCAGAAGCCTCTTGTCGTCAGGGACAACCAGGGCAATGAGGTGCCAACGACTTGCCTCACCAATGATGGTCTCCAGGTCTCCGTGACCAGCGCAACCTAGAAGGTCACCTCGCAAGGCTGGTGTCAAGTTCCGGTCACAACTTCTGTGGGGGGGGGGGGGCCCGGGACAAGGAGGGTACACTGACCAGTGAGTGACAGGGTGCAGATTTGCATGGATAGATCTGCCGTCTCCCCTTCTTTCTAACAGGCTGCAAGTTGGCTCATTTATGGCCAAGCTGTACTATAGAGAGAGCAGTCTAAGCTGGTCCTTGCCTGTTTTGAGTGGGGCAAAGAAGGACATGGCAGAGGGGATCCTCAGTGCCAGATAGTCTGTAGGTCTGTCGAGGAGTCAGTGGCGACGGATGCGGGCTCTTGCCATGAGGAGGTCACCTCCCGTGACGTCAGTTAGGACCACCCAGCATTTGTGAATAGCATCTAAAACTGGTGGTTCTGTGATTTTCCTTCCATCCCGGGGTAGGAGATAAAGCAGTGGCTGTAGGTGCAATGCCACAAACAAAAACCCAACTCCATCACAGAGAGATTGTAAGAAAAATGAATGGGTATGTTGGTGTCTGTTGTATTATATTGAGAAGTTGTTTGAGGAGATAAAGAAGAGAAAGACGCTATTAAGAGCATAGTTGCTGTGTGTTGCTGAAATACAAAAATTATAATATAATAATAATAATACTAATAGTAATAATAATAATACCAATTGGAAGCTAGATTCCCTCCCCCCCCCCTCCTACCAGAGCAACCAAGTCGACTCATCCGAGAGATGAGGGCAGGGGAAGGCATGGCAGATCCCAGAGGGTTAATGTTGTCAACAAGCAAGACGCAAATGGTCTCCGCACCTTCTCCGCAGTCATAGGGCTCCCCGATAAGTGCATGCTTAATACATGTATGGAGTAAAGCAGTCTGCTGCCTGCCCACTATGTGACTACCCCTCAGAGACAGTGGAACATCATCTGTTCTTCTGTAGAAAACTAACTGATTTAAGGGGATGTTTTCTTCCCAAGCTACCCCACACATCTTATTGCCTCTACTCCTCAAGACATCAATTAGAACAAACATGCAACTATTACCGAATGGCATCATGCAGAAGAGTTAACGCTCAGATGCTACTGGATCACTAACAACAACATCAACAACAACGACCACCCAGCATCCTGACGATGATACCGAGTCTTTGAGTGGACACTGTACCCGTGTATGTGAACGTAACTCCAACACGTCAGGGGTGAGCCCATCGGATTTAGAACACCCTCCTGACTCTGATCGAAATTTAAACAGTAAGTTTTAAACAGCGGAGAAGGGGATGAAGGGGAAAAAACATTGAAAAGGTCGGCAGAGGCAGGTGATTTCTAGTTTCGTCGAAGACAGTAATGGTTCTTGTGATAACCAGGAAGTACAGTCCACGCTCCCAGAACTTCATTCCTCTGGGCAATCACAGCAGTCCAGCATTAGGAAGATGGCGGAGCCTCAGGGTGTCAGAGTCCCAAGGATAAGGTGCCAACATCTCGACGCTCGAAGCATTGAGGATGGACGTACCAGGATGACGACAATTCTTGTACAATGGGATTTCGATAGCGAACAACGACATGGCAGGTAATTCGAGTTTGAACTAATTTTTTAAAGGGTTTTTTACGGCACTCGCAACTATATTAGGTTATATGAGGGAGCAGGACACATTCAAACATTTTTAGTTGATAGGTCATTTTGAATTTTGCCTGGATGGCGGCCGAAGCTTACGCTTATCGATTTTGGACCACTTAGGGATCTCTAACGTCCTCAACATGCACACGGCACTTCCGAGATTTTTCGCCCTTATCCGAGAAGGCTAGGTGTAGATCTTACCTACCATAATGGGTGTGGCTGAAAGACCGCAGAAGAAGCCAAGGAGGAACCACTCAAAATAGGAAAACTAAATGCACTGGGATTTAAAAATCACAAGAAACGATCAGCAATTTTTAAGAATTTGCGGTCTGAAAAGCTAGATTAAATAGGTATATAGGAAACTCATTTATCAGAGTCAGATCAAAACGAACTATCTTAACAATATGGCATATGGGGGAGAGGGGGGGTATACACTCTTGTCATGGGAGCAGTAGTAGTGAAAGTCTTGTTACTTGTTTCAATCCGCATCCTAGTGCAGAAGATAATATCAATTTAATGACAATGACAATAACAATGACAATGACAGTGACAATCTTTATTCATCTTGCAGGGAGAAACTTGTCCTGGTCGTTTACAATGGCAGCAGACGTTACAAAGGTTATGTACACTCACGCATGCACACAACAAGACAGGACATTAGTACATATATGTATCAGGTACTGAAACAACCGCTAGGTAAGACATGCTCTGTCTGTCTGTCTGTCTGTCTGTAACCTCTCGACCACAAGAACCCCCCCCCTCCCCATTGTGTAAGTGTCTGTGGCGGTGGGTGAACCAAGGTTTGGGTGGGGCTTCAGCAAATCCAGTCCTTTCCACCAAATAACATGCAATAAGACCTAAAGAGTGCTGATTTCTCTATAATCACGTGAGACACGGCATTCTGAGAACCATCCAAACGAGAAGGGTCACCTTTCTCTTCCATCTCTTTGTTTTAAGTTAGATTTTTCTGAATGAAAAAGTTGGCATAAAAGTGGAATCGACGTGATTTGTAACTTTTAAATCTCAGCGCACAAGCACAAACATGCTCACACAGCACTTCAAACATATTCTGTCTATGAACTGGATTAGGCTGTGTAGTCGCGGAAAGTAGGACGTACCTAACAACGGTCCAATTGAGAGCGTAAGTATCTGTGTCACTGGAGGAAAGTGTGTCGTAAACTTTCACCCCCATTGTCAGGGCTAGGAGAGCATGAGCCTTCAGTAGAATGTTATTTTTTCCTGTCTTTTACTTTCTGTAAGGAGAGTTTCATTACAAAAGTGGCGTGGGAATGGGCTCATCCTGGGCTGAGCCCTAGTGAAATTTGATTGGCTGTTAGGTTACTATAGTTGTAAGCGGGGACAACAGTGATTGGATAAACGAGCAAGCCGCCAAGTTGATCACTCTACGTTCATTGCATGCTATCATAACGGTTTTAACGGCTTATTTCCTTAGTTAAGAAACTCCCATGACTTTGTGATAGAATTGGGGGGGGGGCTTAAGCCTGGGAGCCCTTCACTACTCACCGCCACTGGTAAGTGTAATGTACTTGGAAGAGAGGATGTGTGAGAGACTATGTGTGTATAGGTGCGCTCTTGCGTGTGTGTGTGTGTGTGTGTGTGTGTGTGTGTGTGTGTGTGTGTGTGTGTGTGTGTGTGTGTGTTTGTCGTGAAACACCATGATCAATGCGCCAATATCTAGACAATAAAGGTAATAATACAGTCAATCTTGTCTTATTTTATAGGATTGATATTTATTCGGGGTTTTTTTTCAAGTAGATAATTTTCCTCTTCTCTGCAGCTGAAAAGTTATTTTTCCTCCTTGTTCCAAAAAGTTTTCATAAACACTGCTCGATATTTCGAACTCATTTTCAGATACACAAATATATTCACGCTAGAGTTGACAGTTTCTGTCAGAAATGATGAAGTCCAAAAGATAAGATAGAGATTTTTATAGACGCTATTAAAACGGAAACTTGGGTCAATCGCCATATAGAAAAACAGAAGCGTGGGAGGTACGGCGCAGACGATGAAAATGACAGCGATCAAGGTCACCATTTTCACAACTTTTCGGTCTTTGACCCCAACTCCATCCGCTGCACGATCAGACTTGGCTACAGTGGCCTGTCGCCATTTTGTTTTACTGTTGAGTTTGACGACAAGAACTATGGTGCAGCAGATGACGAAGACGAAGGAAAATGTCGTAGCAAATACGCCTAGGGCGAGAAACGTAATGGCTTCTAGCATTTCTCTGTCAGCCGTGTAGGTAGATCTTAGTATAGTGGCATTCCTGGTGAAATCGAAAACCCACTCAAATCTGTGGCCAAAGTAGAAGGGGATAAACAAAATGAACACAATAAGGTAGATGGAGACAATGATTATCTTTGTCCTTCCCGGTGTGATGATTGTCTTCACCTTCAGAGGGACAGTGATACACAGACACCTTTCGAAGGTGATGAAGGCCGTGATAAAAGAGCTGATTTTCACAGAGAGCACGTGTGGCGTAGATCCCGTGAGATGCACGATATCCCCGAGATGAAAAGGCAACTCAGAAAAGTAGAGGAGAGGGTTCATACAGATGCTTATCCATAGCATGGTCACCAGGGAGCAAAGGTCAGCCACAGCGAGCCCTGAAATGATAAACAGTTTACGGGGTAGGAAAATGCTACACATACAGACTTCAAAACCAAGGACTACTATATGAGTATAGT